AGCTCCACCCATTGGCCAAACTCCCTCAGTATAAACGGCTCTGAAGGGAGGCATCACCGGAAGTCACGTGAGTTGTGTCACTCCTCGTGCTCACCGTCACCGCGCTTGATATCGTTTTTATATTTTTGTTATTCTCCGCACCTACGCGAGCAATCCAAGCATACAAGGTTTCTTTATTTGCTTTTTATCGTTTAATGTTGCTGTAACGGTAGAAGAAGAAGAGTCGGTGCACTTAGTAAACAAGTTCTGCTCATGTTCTAGACAAAACACGTACTTTATACTCGACGTTTACTTGTACTTGGTACACTCACCAGTTCGTATTCTCTAGACGGTAAACATCTTCAGCCTGGAGAGTATCCGATGATTCGACGACTTCGGTGTCTGAACCTTCAGCAATGCGATCGGGCGTGTCGTATGCTACACATCCTAATTTCTGCGAGTGTTCTTATTTTTATTTTCAAAACTCAATAGCTTGTTTTGTGCCCAGTATGGCTCTGTACCATCGGACTGATCGCATGCACTCGTGCGTGCACTGGCTTGTACTCGCAACGCTTTCATCGTTGGTCTCCATCACGTCGATCTACTGACTTCGTCCTCAACCTTTACAGAGCGCAAACTACCAAATAGTGCAGTGATAAAAAGCTAGTGGAATTGAAACTTCGTTTTCTACAATCGCTCGTGGAGAAGACAAAGAAAAAAAAAAGTCCTAGGCGCGGTCGTAGGGAGCACGAGGAGTGACACTCACGTGACTTCCGGCGAACACAATTTAATGACGTAAGTCAATGCGTCCCTTCTGACCGCCCCGACACCTTGCTGTACACTGTTACGTCACAGAGCACTGGCGGGCACTTTGAATTTTTTTGGGGTGTCAGAGGCCCTTTAAAGCCTACACTCTGAGCTACAGTTCTTAAGATTTAATTGGATTGTGGCATCAATCACCACCCTGATACAACGAACACTCATAACTAACAAAAATATGATTGAAGCCCTAAACAAATAACCGCTTCTAAATCCGTATTTGCTAATGGCGTGCCGTTAAAAGACCTAGTTTTTTTTTTTTTTTTTCATATATAGAATTTTAATTTTTGTAGCAAAATGTCGGCTACAGCTGTTTCCATGGATTTATTTTTAATCGTTCGGCAATCGTTTTTTTCTTTTTTTCACTAGTTAAAAGGTACTGTCAGAGACCGTCGACAAGCAATGATTAGATCAGTCCGCGGAAGAAGTCAAGGAAGGTATGATATAAGACTGCAAGTTAGGCTAATACGTTTTGATTCAAACTAAAGATTTACAAAAATAAAATCTGGGTGCATTGTGGTGTGCTTTAGCCAACAGCCCGTGGACGATATCTTGGGGGTCGCCACAAGCTGCATATATCTAGGGTGCCTACAGGTCTGTGTGTTTCAGGGTGAAGACATCCATTGTTGCCCTGAATGTGCCAGCGCGTGACGCTCTCGCGCGTTCGGTGCGTGACTTTGGCGCTAAAATGGCGTCTATGCATTAGCCAAAGCTACGCGCTCGAGCTGAATGACACCAGAATGCGCGCACTTTAAAATGCATAAAACAAACATTGGGCGGAAAAATGGCTGAGATGTCACCACTCAAGCAAAAGCGCGCGTGTGTATGAAAACACTCTACATATATCAGGGTCATCAAACCTGTGTGCGTTAATGGAGCGACAGACTGTGAATGCATTGCTGCTGTCCTGAACCGATGGAGTATAGCGTTGCATCAGGACCCGGATTGGAAGATGACCTTCCACCGCAAATGATATAGGGTGCATGGCCTTGAAATTTTCTTCCGATAAGAAGTCGGACCTCGTAACAACAGCCTCAAGTTGTACGCTGGAGAGTCTATACAGTGTGAACTCTTTCTCTGAATTTTCAAATAAACCATACGAAAGCTGGGACTTGCCGTTGACTATGACCGGCTGCGCCATGACTCCTCTAACTGCGACCAGAGCCGTATATGTAGAGAGTTTGGTCAATGGGAGGCGCGGGCAGAGCCAGGGCGTGCGGCAGACTCGGAAAGAGGGCTTGGCATGCTCTCTTGACCAACCAGAAGCCGAAAAGAATCCCCTAGCGGTGGTCGCGAAAAACATTTCTGAGCCGATCGATCATCGAAGGTCTATGTTCGTATATGGTTTTAATAAGTGTGTAAGAGTGAAGTGTAGTGACTTCTTGTGGTTGAAAATAGGGTGCACGTGTTGTTTTCATCATGATCATGCAGAAAGATGTAAGAAACAGCCGGCGCGCCGTCACGGAGCGGAATGATGCAATTCGGTAATTCGGTATACACCAACTCATGTTTACAAACAAACCGGAGCGCCCCTAGTGGACGCCACCGGCGCCGCGCATGCGCGGTGGACGGTAAGCAAGAAGCCCGCCGTCGCCCATAAACATACCATTACATTGCGTTGTTTTCGGCCTCGGTGGGAGTCCCCGTGCTCTTTTTTGCGTTGGAATTGTTGATTTTACGCCCTCCTAACAATGTCTGACTACTTGAGCGGCTTCAGCAAAATTAACGAGACAAAACTTTGCGTGAATAATATGACTTGCGGCGATTCATTTCACGTGGACGCCGCAGAATGGGCGCTAAAGCCTGACTCCCACGATGAGATTCTGCTCGCTATTTTCAGTCGCGACGTCGCTCTGGCTGCAAAGGCGTGGATTCTAGCTGAGATGGTGGACTTCGATACTTAAAACCGCAAGTAGAATCGGGCATTACAAATCGGTGATGGCCACTGGTAACAATGATCAACATCTTGTGTCTACTGTTTACACTTAGCCTACTTACCCCAACCAACCTTCAAAAGTGTTTTGAGGCCTGCACTTAGTTCTTATCGCAATCACCGGGTCAACGTTAAGTTTGAAAGAGCAGACGACAGTTCGAACGCATGCGAAATGGAATGCGGGCAAGAAGCACCGCGTCCCGCGTCCACAAACCTTTGGAATGTTACGTTGTCGGCGTCTGTGTGAGTCTGCATACTCTTTTTCGCTTTGGATTTGTCAAATCTACGTCCCCATAGCAATGTCTTACCACTTTAATCGCCTGAGCGAAACTATCAAGGCTCGTTACACCACTAAACTTTGCGTAAATAATTTGACGTGTGGCGATTCATTAGCGTGAACGCCACAGAATGGACGCCAAAACCACGATGAGAATCTTCCAGATATTTTCGGTCGCGACGTCGCTCGTGCTGCAAAAGTGTAGAAGGTAGCGGCGATGATCGACGTCGATAGTGAAATTCTGAAGCGGAAACAGACCAAGCGTAAGAAGTCGGTGATGGCCACTGGTACCAATGATCAACATCTTGTATGTACTGTTTACACCGAGCCTACTTAAGTCGTTTGAGGCCTGCAATTATTTCTTATTGCAATCACCGGGTCAAAGTTTGGTCTACGGGCCGCTTTTGTTTGAACGAGCAGACGACAAAAAGAAAAACAAGTTCGAAAGAGCAGACGAAAGTTCGAACGATCAGGCGGCCGTGTGAATTTGAAGACGCACTGAACCCGCGGGGGGCCCGGACAACTTGGCGGTTTTCTCTCGTTCATGTTGGAACAAAACAAATACATCTGGCGACCACAAAGTGTTGCCCGCACAAGCAATCGTAGTTCGACAGCGTCTGGTTTACCCTTTTCACGGCTACTGTCCACGTACTTGGACGAACGGAGCGGGAGAAACACAGTAAAACTGATCTCAAACCTTTCCAGACTCTTTTGGCACAGCCGCCGTCGCAGCATTTTGACGAGAACGCAGGTTTTTTGTCTGGTTTCTCCGAAAAGAACACAAGAATGCATGTCTCACACGGCGACTTCTGCCCACCACCCCAGACCGGAAGTGCGTCCGATGCGCCACCACCGCGGCGTGACGTAGGAGAGTTGAGTTGGTGTATAAAGCGCCGGTTCAAATTCGTCCAGCGCTTTATTTCGTTCGTGCGCTCCGGTGTTATCTGTGTGACGTCCCTTCCGTGACCAAGTTCGCGTGACATCGACCTCCCAACTTTGCACCCCGTCCAAAGCGCGGAGAAAGACGGGGTTCTACGTCAAAAAGAAATAAGATCGGAAATGTTTCGGAGCTACCTCATAGACGGCACCAGCGCGTGTTCTCTCGTCGCTCTCGTCGCAAGCGATTACAAGATGTCGCAGCGCAATCGATCGCAACCAAACGAAGTGTGTGAGTCAGCTTTTCAAATTTTCGTAGTCACTCGTTCGAACAATTCGTTACACGTGGCACTGATATTTCGTTGGAGTTATCTTTACGCCATAGAGTGATAACTTCGCTTAATCGCGCGGCTTTGACCTCACGCCGATGCGGTGGCACTGCTGTCGTCACGGCGCACATGGAGGCGCTTCACGTCACGCTTGTTTTAGAGCGCAGCGTTTCCGGCTTGAGCGGCGTCGCCGTCCCTGTAGGCGTCGGCGTAACCGCGCGTTTCATTATGGGACGTTTTCGATAATGACGTCACACGTGACGTCACGAGGGTTACAAGTGATGTAACTCGTAACCGCGCGTTGCATTACGGAGTTGTTCTTATAACGACGTCACAGTGACGTCACGAAGGTCACTCGCGAAGGCCGCGACCTTTACAGTGAAAGTAACGGGAAGTTCACTCGTGAAGGTCACGACCCTCACAGTGAAGGTCACGTAAAGGTCACGACCTTCACGCGGCCTTCACAAGTGACGTCACGAGGGTCACTAGGGTCACGGGTGACGTCATGGAGGAGGGGGGGGAGGGGGAGGAAGGGTGAATGTGAGGAGGGGCATGGAGGAGGGGGAGAGCAAGGAAGATGGGGGGGAAGGGCACACCCAACTCTCCATACCCTCCCCTCCTCCTCCTCAAGAGCTGGGCTCTAATTCGGCATTCCAGGGAGTTGTAAACGTCTTTCATTTTTTTTAGCAGCGTTTTGGGCTACGCAAAGGTCAGGGAAACACAAAAGTGTTCCGAAAATAACTTATGATTCGAGGGACGCAGTAAAGTATAGTCGAGGACCACTTACCCAAAGCCCTTTTCTCGTCTACTCCCTCGGGCACTTTGAAAGCTGCCGGTTTCCCGAATTTTATGGCCTCGAGTTCCTTCGGCATCTCTTTCCTCATGAATATGTAGAGCGTGTAGTTGAGGTTGGGCACTCGTGCGTCCGGTTCGTCTCCGAAGTGGATACAAACGATGCGTTTTACGTTATATCCCGTTTTGCGGCGCTGCTCTCCCCTGAAGATGTCTCTTTCGGCATGATGAAGACGTCTTTTTTGAGTGGTGATGTTTTCGCAAACTCTGGCGACGTCTGCACCATTCTGAACCGGCAGGTGACCGCACGCCATCTTGTCGACCGTGTTGTTCTCCGAATCCCCGACTGCGTAGCAATGCGCACGAGCGGTTACACTCTATAAAACAAAAGGGGGTGTAGGCGTTACACCCTTTGTCACATATACGACACCCCAAAACTTCAGTTCGACGTACAGCGCGCTGACGTCGAACTGACTGCCCCAACTTTTGCGAGAGGGTTGATGACGTTGCCATATAACATATTAAACAGCTAAAGTACGTATCAACGTCTACAGGAAAAACAAAACAAAAAACATACAGGTTTTGCAGTTGAGCCTAGAAAACCCCGATAACGTTTTTTTACAGTTAGTCACACTTACATTAACCATTTTAATGAGTTGTACAACTCGGCTATCAAGCCGCTCGTGTAATTTGGTAGCGTCGATACAACGTTAGTGCGCTGTACATCCGACTGAAGTTTTGGGGTGTCGTATATGTGACAAGGGGTGTAAGGTCTACACCCCCTTTTTTTTTAGAGAGAGTAAAACAGATTTCCCTTCAAACATGCTGGCGGTGGGAACCGACCCAACCCAACTACGGTGTCTCAAGTTTTGGAAGTTCAAACCTTAACGAAGTGGCCGAGCCGAGTTGCGAAGAAGATCCCTACCACGCTCACACTCAGGAGGTTTGGCGCTGCCATACCGACCTTCAATTTTTCGTTTCCCCTTCTTCCGTTCACTTCACCTCATCCTTACCGGAGCTGGACAGGCTATTACGATTTTGGATCTTTCGGCCAGACTTGGGCTCGTTACTTGAAAAATGTAAATGGATTACAATTACAAATTACCGTGCCTCAAATGTAATGGATTACCGTTACAAATTACATTCGCTGAAAAGTAACGGATTACTTTACTCGTTGCGTTACAAATTACTTTCACGTTACTTTTTCCGCACACTTATCCAGAAAACAGTAACAACAATTTTTAATAATTTTCAAATATGTTCTGCAACTTTTCATTTCTCATACGCCCGTATTATGGTAGTAACAACAAAATATTGTATTTAAGAGAATGTGTGTAGCTGCACTCCGTTCACCTGTAAGCTGACATGGCACCGAAAGCTGCAACCACAACCGCCATTCCGATAGCGGTGCGCATGCTCGGTAGCAGCGTCTACATCTGCTACGAGATTCGGAGCTAAACAAGCGATCTACGAAAGCTCCCTTTTGACTCGTGTGTTTCGCCTGTTATTCACGAGCAAAGAAAAACGTGGTTCTAACGTTACAATGTAAGCCAGTGCGTAATGCAGGTGTCCCATCTTACCTTAACGTGCTTTCGTAGATAAGAGTTTGTTTTTCTTGCTGATAACAATGATTTTTTTTTTTTTTTTTGGCAAGCAAAGTATGCACTAAAACTCTAGGTTTCCGTTCTCCTTAATGCCCTGAATTCCGAGCATCTCATTAAGAGATGGTCATGGAGACGACTGACACTTCATAACCGAAAACTCGACGAATCAGAGAAATAGTGGCGGTTACGAATTATCGATCGTTAGTCGGTTCTCACTTTCATACCAATATTCGTGGAGGCCAGGGGAGGGGAGGGCATTGAGAGCGCGAGAAGCCTCCATCGCTCTCACAAAACAATAGAGGATCACTCCACCTTTACGTGTTCTCTCTTTCTCTCTCTGTCAGCGCTCCTTACATCGCCTACCCCCCCCCCCCCCCTTCATGTTGACAGGTGAGGGGTGGACTCGAGTACCATCCCCAGACAAGTAAACGAAAATAATTATCGTCCGTACCCTCGAAGACGATGCTCTTAGCCTCGCGCCGGGCACTTTTCAGCCCTGCCTCAAGAGAATGCTGTAGCGCACATCAAAGAAAGAGAATTTGACCCCCTTGCGCGAGGCTATATCGACTGTTACGCGAGTTGTAAACCTGCGAATCGAGGGGTGAGGACCCGCGTTTGATGCCTGTGCAGGTGGCGGGAGACGTCGAAATAGTTGAAAATGGTGAAATGGTGTAAAAGACAAAAACAAATCAGCACGAAGAGCTTTCTCCTGCCCGGGAGAAGAAAACACGATGGAAGGCGATGGAGAGCCTACTCGGTGTTGTCTTACTTGGTCTTTGTCTTTCGTATATTTGTACACGCCTTGCCCGTTTTTCTAGTTGCTCTAGTGACCGGTCATACGAAATATCGTGTTTTCTTTTCGGCTATTCTCCTATCCTGATGTGTTCTCTTTTGTTGAACTTGCTCTCTTTATGCTGCTGAATGTTCCGCTCGTATTTCTCCACGTACTGTATTATTCTCATATTTTTAAAAAGTAACGAGTAATTAAAGTAATCCGTTACCAATATTTTGAAACGAAATTACATTACAAATTACCCCCGAAAAAAGTAACGTGGCAATTACAAAATTACTTGAAAAAGTATCGGATTCTTGAGTAATCCGCCACTTGTAACGGATTACTTCCCAAGTCTGGTCCTTTTCCCTAGTATACGCCTCGCAAGTGGGCTCATTTTCGTCTTCTGCGCATGAGAAAGGAAATAGCGGTGACGTCAGAACGCCGAGCCCTGATTGACTGATCGCGACCCCCTATCTGAGCGTCGTCTGCTCCTTTGCAACGTCGTCTGCTCGCAACGTCGTCTGCGTCTGTCTTGCCTTTCCTGCGACTTTCGGAAGTGCAGGTCTTTACGAGCGAGCTCGGCTTCCCCTTTCAGAGAGGGCAGACGAAGTAACTCGAGCGGTACGTTGTTTTTGTCTAACAACTAGTAGACGCGCATCAAGATGGGAAGTCAAAGGACTCACTGGCGAGGTGTCCCGAGGCGCCGAGGTTTGTTTGCTAAGAACTGAGAATGGATTTGAGAGTTCCCTCCCGAATACATTTTCCCTCCTTTCGTGTGCGGGGAGAGACCTCATTCTTTAACGGCGTCGGCGGGTTGGCGCAGTTAACGTCGTCTGCTTTACGTCTGCTAGTCAAAGCGATGGCTGCTTTACCTTTCTTGCGTCTGTCGGAGATTCACCGCTTTTTCACCGGCGAGAGTCACCGTTGCCTCGGGAAACAAGGAGATAACAGGAGGAAGAAATTGACCTCTTAATCTAAAATTGATGTCAGCGATCAAAGTATAATACGGGAAGGGTTCACAAGGGTCGCGCGGGCTTATTCCATTCAGCACGCCAGCCGGTCGTGGGCGGACGGTCGCCGAGTCGCGGAGTGCCAGCTAGGCCTAACTGCCGAGCTGGCTTGGTCGCGTTCGGTGGAATCGTGGCCGTTGGAGCTTTTCCCGGGTGTTTGTGGATCCAGCATTCTTGTTTGTCGTGGACTCTTTCATGTACTTTTCACTTTTTTCTTGCTGCTTGAAGTCGGGACGCGTGAGAAGCGCGCGTAGAAAAAGAAACGTCCGTGGGTCGTCGTGACCGCGACGCTGTCGGCCATGCTGATTTGATCGTAAGAAGTGCGTAAGACAGCTTCGGAGCTGTCGTAGGATTTCATCGTAACCTGCGCAAAACTTACGAAAATTTCGTTTCGTGATTACGAATTTGTTCATAAGTTTTGTCTTACGCACATTTTTGGCATAAGATCGCTTCGTGAATCTGGCCCCTGCACTTCCGAAAGTCGCAGGAAAGGTGAGACTGACGCAGACGACGTTGTGAGCAGACAACGTTGCAGAGGAGCAGACGACGCTTAGATAGGGGGTCGCGATCAGCCAATCAGGGCTCAGCGTTCTGACGTCACCGGTACCCCCTGCGCAAGAAGCAGACGAACTTGCCCTCCGTATAGGCCTTTGTGGAGGCTCTTCAACACCCGCTTCAGTGGCTCCTCATCGCGGTAAGATAAGAGAAGGTCAGCAGTGGCGGCTGCAATCTAGGATGTGTGTAATGCGTCTATGTACCCTGCTCGATTCATTTGGATAGGTCAAAATACACTACAACGTGGTTAAAGATCGCGACATGTTGACCAGGAAGCGGGAACTATATCAATCCTGGAATCTGACACGTCAATTTGTCTGAGGTTTCCGCAGCGCGCTTAGACGCCAACTAGAATAATCAAAACCTGCGCACTTTGAAATTTTGACGTCATCACAGTGAGACCCACCGAGGACGCCGACTGGATTCGAGTGCTGCGTCGGTGCTCGCTTCGGACTCGTGTCCAATCAACGCATCGAGGGACGCTCGGCACCGGACTCGGGTGTGATGACGTTCCGGAGGAAGAGAAGGATCTTGGAAGGCCTGGATTATTCTAGTTTGTGTTGTCTCAGCGCGAGCTTGGTGGCCCAGCGACCGTAGATATTCAAGTTTCGTTTCAATGATCATCTGTGGGGACGTGTAAACGTTCCTATTCTTTTATTTCCATGAGAGTTTGTAAAGAAAACGGTTATATGGCAAACCCAGACGTGACGAAAGGTAAGGCCCCGACACCTGACAGCGTACTGTCACGTGCAACCCTTCTTTATCTCCTTGTTCTCCTTTTCTGCGCACTAATCAAAATGCCTTGACACACACTTTTGTACGTTCCAGTGTGCATGTGTTGCGATGCGTCCGAAACGCAATTACTGTTTGTTCGTTTTGCTTTTTTTCGAAAAGGCGATGAATGCCGTGCTCCTCTGACCATGCGGTCTCGGTGGCAAATGGAGCGCCCCTCTGCGGCTAAAGGCCGAATCACATAGGGCGTATTTGCCGCGTATTTACGGGCGTTTCGGCGGACGTAATCCCGACGTATAGCAGGCGTCGGGACGAGCACTTCCTCGACGCCTCGAGGTCGGCGTGAATACGCATGTATTCGGCGATCCGACCGAGACAGATCTCGGCGCTTCGTCGTACTTCGGCGTGGCGTATCTGGAAGCGTACGGCGCAGTGCCGGCCAATCAGCCCCGAGTAGAGAGCCGGAAGTTGCTCGAGGAACGGCTAGCCTAGCTATGCCGCCGGCTGGATGGCTTGACTCAGACGCCGAAACGGGAGCTCGCTTGGCGCATTCGACAGGTTATTGGCGAACTGTGCGAAATCGCTATATCTCTTTGGAATGAGCGATGAACGACTGAGACAGAAGGAATTATCATCTTTCTTGCGTGCGATGTGACACAATTATAAAAAGATGGGTTTTGAGCAAAGATCGTGGACGTCCTCCTGACGGGACTTGTTGGCAACTTGGTGATTGCAAGGAACATTTATGATACAGGCGTTAGCAAATTAGGCTTTCGCGGTTGATTAAGATTTATTATTTCTGTCCCCTTGCCGAACGTACAAATATGGCAGCCGATCTACATTTTGCTTCCTTTTATGAAACGCGCGAGTCTGGCTGCACTGCACCAAACGCCGAGGAGACGTCGATGAAAAGCGTCGTTGGTGGTTTGGCGAACTTCCCCCTCTTCCATTCTGCGAAAAAAACGCCCTCCAAATGCCGTAATTATGCCCGCTGAAACCCGCATAAATTCGTCGAGAATACGCCCTATGTGGATCGGCCTATGCTCGGCTATTCGCGTCGTGTGCAACCAAATGCGTTGTTGTGGTCGGCATTCCACGATTGATCGAAACGTTTTACACAAACCATCGAACTGTCGCTGGCAATAAGAGTATTCATTGGACGCCATCTTTGAGTGCGCTGTTCAGAGCACATGCTCAGAACGAGCTCGCATGAGCAGGCTGCTAAGACCGGCAATCTTGACGGTGTCGGATGCACATTTCAAAAGGAGTGTGGAAGCTCGCC